TTTTATCCCTTTTTAAATGAATTAGGACACCACAAAATGAATAAAAAAAGGAAAAGCATCCATTTAAATCTCACCTATTCACCTTTTTATTACAAAAATTAAACAATCTCATTAAAATGGTACTATGAAAACATATTTTACTATCCCTATAGAATTCAATAAGTTATTCGTTTGCTAGGTACATAACAAAGTAACACAGACTGGGAGGCCTAAATAACATAAATTTATTGCCTCATAATTCTGGAGGCAGGAAGTCCAAGATCAAGGTAGGGTTGGTTGCTGTGGAGGCCTCTCTCTTTGTCATGCCAATGACCACCTTCTTCCTGTGTCTTCACATGGTCTTTCCTCTGTACATATCTATGTCCTGATCCACTCTTACAAAGACTCTGATCATATTGGATTAGAACCCAATTAGTACATCAACATAGGAAATTTTAAGGGAACAATTCAGCTCCTAACAGTACACAGTTTCCACAAACCAAGTCAGTATTTACATTTCCCTCAACAAAAAGCCCCATCACATACCTTTGAATCACTTTGTTTTATTGAATAAGTAAACTGTGGCATTTCCATTGAATGAAATAGTATAATTGCCATATAAATGGAGTAACCAAAAAATTATACTGAAGAAAAACATTTTTATTTGCCTGTGTAGTTGCCTTGATCAATGCTGTTTATTTCTCGATTTGAGTTACTATCTAATAACCTTTTATTTCATTCTGAAGGGCTCTCTTTAGTACCTCTCGTGGAGTAGGACTGCCAGAAATCAGTTCAGTTTTTGTTTACCGTGAAATGTCTTAATTCCTCTTTCTTGTGTGAAAGACAAAATTGGTGGATGTAGGGTCCTTGACATATAGTCTTTGTCTTTAAGTGCTTGCAATGTGTCTTCTCACTGCCTCCTGGCTTCCATGGTTTCTGACGAGAAACCAGATGATGATATTGTTGTAGATCCCTTGTGTGTGATCGTCGTCTATATCTTGCTGCTTTTAAGATTCTCTCTTTGTCGGGGCGCCTGGGTGGCTCAGTCGGTCGGTTAAGCGTCCGACTTCGGCTCAGGTCATGATCTCACGGTCCGTGGGTTCGAGCCCCACGTCGGGCTCTGTGCTGACAGCTCAGAGCCTGGAGCCTGTTTCCGATTCTGTGTCTCCCTCTCTCTCTGACCCTCCCCCGTTCATGCTCTGTGTCTCTCTGTCTCAAAAATAAATAAATGTTAAAAAAAAATGTAATAAAAAAAGATTCTCTCTTTGTCATTGTGTTTCAACAGCTTGATTATTGACGTGTCTGAGTATGAATCTCTTGCGTTAATCTTACTTGGAGTTTGATAAACTTCTTGTAAGTGTAGACCAGTGGTTTCCATTAAATTTAAGATGTTGTTAGCCCTCGTGTCAAGTATTTCTTCTCCCCCTTTCTCTCTCTACTCTCCTTCTGAGATTTCCATTACGCATATGATATGATCGACAGTGTCCCACACATCTCTTGAGGCTTAGTTCAGTTTTCTTCTTTCTTCTCTCTTTCTGTCCCTCAGACTGGAGACAATCACAATTGACCTGTCTTCAAGCTCATGATTCTTTCTTCTGCCAGTTCAAATCTGCTGTTGAGTACCTCCAGTGCATTTTTCATTCATCTATTATACATTCCAGCCCTAGAATTTAATATAATTTAATTTATATTTGTTTTTTTATATATGATTTGTATTCCTTTATTGATATCTTCAATTTGGTGAGACATCATTCTCATAATTTCCTTTAGTTTTTTTCACATATTTACAATAGCGAGTCAGGTAAGTCCAATGTCTCAGCTTCTAGGACAGTTTCAATGGACTGCTTTCTTCCTATACATGGGCCATACTTCCTTTTTTCTTCATAGGTCTCATAAATCTTTAAAGCCAGCATTTTAAATAATATAATGTGGCAACCCTAAAAATCAGATTCTCCCTCCTCTCCAGGGTTTTTTGTTGCTGTTGCTGTTTGTTTAGTGACTTAGCATGAGATTCAGGAAGTCTATATAGTTTTGTATGTAGCCCCCTGAAATCTTTGCTCAGTTAGCTTTGTAATCAGCTAATGACTGGACAAAGGTTTCCTTAAATGCTTGGAATCAGTAAGTCTCCAGTCTCTGCTAAGGAGTGCTGTGTGCATGGTGGGGGGGGGGGGGGGGCAGGCCTTCAACACTGAGGTAGGAACTTTACAGCCTTGCCTTCACCTTCACTTCCTGCTTGCTCAGAGGCTCAAGGTCAGCCAGAGACAAGAGCTCAGGGCCTTCTCAGGTCTTTCCTGGGCATGTACACAGTCCTACTGTGGTCTTCTAGACATGCATGTGGTCTTCTAGATTCTCAGGAATATGTCAGAGTTTTTCCAAGTTCCTTACGGACATCTTTCTCCAGCTTTTCCTTTTGTTTCTTGGTTAGCTTGTTGTTTTCCCCAACTGTTATCACTGCCCCCCAAGCAGCTGCAATATTAAACAACTGCCTGGCTGTTTCTGACAACTGACCCAAGGTAAAAGGCTGCCTGCATTGGGTGAGCTCTCTGCCAGGTCACACAAAGACAAGCCTTGCAAGCGGGGTTTTCTAGGGAACCGCCAGACACATGAAGTAATGACAGTTCTGAGAACGGGGCTTTGAAAGAGCTCCACCCGTGTTCTGACCTCCGCTAGCTGTTAGGCTGCTGGTTTTCACCACGATTTGGGGCTGTTGGTTTTTGAGGCTCGTGGAGCTGAGCAGGGGGAGTTAAAATTCCACACCGTTCAGGGTTCTTACTAAAGTTCAGCTATTTTGTTCCTAAGGAAGCTCCCCTGGAATTCATTTACAGAGCTCTAGAAGAGTTTGTTTGGTCCGTGCTTGCCACTGCTCTCATTGCTTTTATGGGGGAGAAGGTTTTCAGGGGTTCCTCCCCTCCCCCCGCCGGCCTTCCTGGTGACATCCTCTTGGCTGCACCCGCTGTTGTTTCTTCATACCTGTATCCCAAGTGTCTGATTCTCTCTTCAGCCAGTTCCAACAGATGTTGAAGGTCCATTTAGATTTTAACTTTAGTAACGGTAGATGTTATTCCTCACTGCATTTGGTCACGTATATAGCCAGAATGGAAAGCCTAGGCGGATTTTATGGTATTTGACCATCGCTGGCTTCTAATCACTTCACAATAAACGTGTACCTCCTTTATGGGGAAAAAAAAAAAAAAGTTACTGAGGTTATTTTATCACCTTTTCCCCTTGACTTCCTGTGTACTCCTCATTCTGAGCCCATATGTCCCTGCCATCATCTGTCTTCCCCCCTCACACCCCAACACGCACGAAGAGTTGGCAGTTCGGACGAGAAGCGCTGGTCGGGAAATAGAAAGCAAGACAGCGCCCTTTTCTTTGCCATATCTAGAAGTCCTGCAGTACTTGTGTTAGAGGCATAAAAGGGGGCTTTTGTGGGTTAGCCAGACAGACACTGCCAAAGGGTAGGATTCGGTTTGGGGATTAAGGAGAAGAACCCAGGGCTGGAGTGAGGGCAGCGCTGACTCGGGCCCTGACAGCTGAGCGGGGTAAATCACGTAAGTCCCTGGCACCCCGGTTTCTTCTTCTGGTCGCACGGAGCAAGCGCCATGCTCGGAAATCATCCTGTAGCTCTGAACCCTCCGTGGAGACACCCACACGTATTCTCTTCTCCCCTCTCCCCCTGCACTCGACACAAAGCAGTTGCCTGATACACCTTATCGGCTGTCTCAATAAACGGCACGTGGACTGACTGGCTGTTTCCTGGAATGAATGAACACTGACCACGGGACTTTTGTGTGTCACAGGTAGTTTGGCCTTGAAGGATCCCTTATTCATTTTTTTTTAAGTTTTAATTACATGACATTTTACAATCTTATTAGAGTAAGGGTGACTATTTTAATGTTTTCTTCTACCTAAAAGTTCCTTGTTTTCTTCTGATTTTAAAAGAATTTTTATAGGTCCCTAAAAAGCAGTTGTGGGCCCTAGGCCCCGGACCTGCCTGGCCACTGGAGAAGTCATCCCTGAGGATGGGTGGAGTTTCCCCCATTCTGTCATTTCATATTTTTAAAAAAGCTGCTCCTGGGGCGCCTGGGTGGCTCCGTCGGTTAAGCACCTTACTTCGGCTCAGGTCACGATCTTAGGGTTCATGGGTTCGAGCCCCGCGTCGGGCTGTGTGCTGACAGCTGGGAGCCTGGAGCATGCTTCGGATTCTGTGTCTCCCTCTCTCTCTCTGCTCCTTCCCCACTCGTGCTCTGTCTCTCTCTGTCTCTCAAAAATAAATAAACGTTAAAAAAAAAAGCTGCTCCTGACTCCTGGGCTGCAGTCGCTCAGATGGCATTTCTGTGCAAACCAGGAAAAGGTTTCTTATCTTTAAGAAGAAGGGACAAGCCTTGAAAGTATTATGGTTATTGCACAGTCTGAATAACTATCCTCACTGGGCCCGGGGCAAGTACAGAGTCGGGGTGGGGGGCATCCCTTCCAACGTCACCTCGGGCGGCAGTCGGGGCCTGCACGGCACGATGGGAGGAGAGTAACGCTGATCCATGACGTTCGGCTGGAGGACCTCCCGGGTGTAGTTCCATAAGCCAAACTTCACTCTAAGTCGATGGCCGGGAGGCTCACGTCTCCGTAGGGCTCAGGCGAAGCCCCGAAAGCCACGGGAGGCCAGACGCGCGGCCTCCGGGGTCTCCCGGCGCGACAAGCGGACAGGGCACGAGCACACGTGACTGTGCACCTGTGCGCACGTGCCTTCCCGTGCGTGTGCACGGCCTCGCGGGCACGCGTGGCTGGCTGTGAGCCAGGACGCTCCCCCCTCCCCGCCCCGCGAAGTCCCGGCAGCGCCACCGCACACGCTGGTAGTAGCGTCCGTCTGCAGCACGAATCACACTCTCGGTCCTAAGCCCTGAGCCCCTGTGCGGGCCGCAGTCGGAGCAGCTCGGGGCCGCGACCACCGCCCGCCCGCTGGGCCCACTTGCCGAGGGCAAGGCCGCACTCACTAAAGCCTCCGTCCGTCCCCTTCCTTGCAGGAATGACGTGCCAAGCCCGGAGCTCCTACGTCACCAGTGAGATCCTGTGGGGTTACCGCTTCACACCTGTCCTGACGCTGGAAGACGGCTTCTATGAGGTCGACTATAACAGCTTCCACGAGACCTACGAGACCAGCACCCCATCTCTCAGTGCCAAAGAGCTGGCCGAGCTGGCCAGCCGGGCGGAGCTGCCCCTGAGTTGGTCCGTGTCCAGCAAACTCAACCAGCGCGCGGACCCGGAGACGGAAGAGGAGGAGAAGAACCTCGAGGAGCAAACAGAAAGGAATGGTGACGTGGCAAACCTAGAAAACGAATCCAGAGTCTAGTCGCCTAGCCGGGCGGCTCCTCCTCCCCTCCCCCCCCGCCCCCCCCCCCGCACAACCCCTCCTCGTCTCTCATGCTCTCTCTCTTTTGTCTCTCTTCCTTGGTTGTGTATGGATTTACATTTAGTTTTGACATCGCCAGAAAGCGAGTCTTCGAGGTGTAAAATATCTACCTGCCCTCTCTCAGTTTTGCAGATGGACGAGGCAGACACAGATTTGGTGAAGGTGCCAAGCGCCCTCCCTCGCGGCCCCAGCTTGCTCTCTTCCCGAAAAACCACGCATCCGACTCCTAGGGACTTAAGCTACTTACCTGCATGTCTTGGACAATAGCAGATCACTCCAAGAGTGTGTCAGAGATTTCACCTGGGATAGGACAAGTTAGGTCTCTGGTGCCTATTTCCTCATGCAGTGAGACATAGCGTATAACCCTCGGTTTTATAGATTCCAGTAAATTCCATCTGCAGGGCGACGTGCCTGCCCCCTACAGGCATTGCAGTTATAGGACCTGGGTCAGGTAAAGACAAAACACTGTACATATATATGCCTTATGTAATTATTTCTCTTTTTGCAGTCAGTAATAAAACACAGCATGTACGAAAAGTACTGTAGGACAGAACTTCCAAATAATGTACATAGATGTATAATTAATGTAGGTTTAGATATATAACTTTAGAAATAAGATGCAAAAAAAAAAAAAAAAAAAAAGATTCCCGATGTACAGCAGGCGTTTCTGTTCTGATGTCTTTGCTTTCTGAATTTCTTTGGTCCCATCGATCACTGGCCCTTAGTGCATGGCCTTTGTTCTGTGTCCCAGACTGGTAGTGTTTGGGTACCTCACTGTTCCCTTGCTTATCCTCTCACTGAATCTAATAAGCCATAGGTCTGGGGGAAGTTAGGCGGTCCGGTACATGGCAAAACCCACCACCAATATGCTGAGATACTGTGAAATGTTTACAAAACTGAGGTCTCTTTCTTTTTTTTTTTTTTTTTTTTTTTTTTTAGTAACAGGAGCCTCACTGACTAGCCTGGGAGAATATTCCAGGGGGACGACACTCTCTGGCATGTCAGCAATGATGTGTTTATGCTTTTCACATGAGCTGTCACCCTTTGTAGTACAAGAGTTTGGGAAACTCTTCTCCTGCAAACCCATGGATTCCCCAGCTGTTCCACTCTGTAATTGTGAGAAACTATAGACCTAAAAAAATCAGACATGGTAATTTAGCAGAAGACGGTTCGGGTCTAAAGCCATGACATTCATGAAGGCGTGCAGTGGGCGACATGTATTATAATCATTCACCTCACACACTTTGACTCCATCCGGCTCTCTCCCTGGCCCCTCTAGCTTATCCATCAGCATTTTTCGCATTTGTATTTATTATTATTCGTCTTCTTTTATTATTCTGAAATGACCAGAGTTCAAGGGTCAAAGATTAAATCAACAATCTAGGTGACTATGAAATCTCTCTAGAGCATGCCACAGGCGGGAAATCAAACCCAAAGTGTCTCCCAATCAGAAGAAAACAAGCAAAAAAACTGCAGCCTTAATTAATTTTAATCTGTGAAGATAAATGGAAAGAGAGAGATTAAGAGAGAGAGAAGAGAAGAGAAGAGAAGAGAAGGAAGGAAGGAAGGAAGGAAGGAAGGAAGGAAGGAAGGAAGGAATTTTGTACTAAAAAATCTAAATTTCAAAATGAAAAAAAATTTTCAAGTAAAAAGATAAGGAAGAGGATGTTAGACAAAAATCTCAAGGGCAGGTGGAAATTTTGCACTGTAACAGATCTTTCATATTAATTTCGCAATTTTAAACTCTTTATTCCCTAAACAGTCGCCCATCATAAATATTCATTGGCTGAACTCAAGTTCATTTTCAGCTCCCACAGCTGTGCTCAGTTTGAGGCTTTGTGCCTTGGAGGTCAAAGAACTCAAACTAGCTATCACTCCCTGTTACCCTTGACTTCCCTGACCAGATTGCACAGGCCTTCGCTGTAGTTCGGGGACTTGGCTACTAAAAAGCATGTCCCAGAGACAAGGAAAGTGGCTCCTCAGTTTAACACAGGGGTCTCTCTTCTCCCACGTCCTTGACCTTGCATTAGGACAACTGCTTCTTGGCACTGACTTAACCGAAAACAAAACTGTTGGCCACGTAGCCCTTTCCTGTTTGCCAGCATTTCACTTTCTGCATTGAATACCTGTCGAATCATTTATTCATTCCACACACTCCAAGGAGGAGGAGGGCGTTGTAGTCCAGGAGGAGGAGGAGGGAGCCCCATACACTTCCTGCCAGGCTGTTGGGAGGTACTGTGGCCTTACCTCGCTGTAGCCTTATGAAGGGCGCCCTTGACTTGGGGGCGCGAACCCTGCAACATCACCAGAGTTGCAGGGAAGGCACCGTAGCACAAAGCAAGATGAGGCAGGGGCTCATTAGCTAATTAGCTCTTGATGACTCAGTGGGCCTTTTTTTACTCCGTTACTAAGGTTCAAAGGACAGCACACACCCTGTTGTCTGGTTGGAAGAACAGTTTGGGGCCCTTTAGCACAACTGAACGAAGAGCCTTGGTGACCCTTTGGTCATGCACATGTGTCAGTTCTGTATCTGTGACAGGGCACCCAGGTGTGAGGTCTCTGCCTATTTCTCATCGTCTTTTGTGTCAATGTAGTTGAAGACAGAACATGAACCAAATCTCGTTTTTGTAACGTGAGCCTCTGGATCTTTAAACAAGGATGCTCCAGAAGAACCTTTTACTAGAATGTCCCTATCAAACGTGTCTATTTTTCTACAATTATTGATAACACAGTTTAACTGTATTTTGTGTCAACTGTTAAAATTTGGAATTGAAAGAAGTTCATTAAGACTGAATTTTCTAAGCAGCAAGTATTGAATGGTGTTTTTCATTAAGACCGTAAAACAAAGATGAGCCCATGATTTCTACTCATTCTATTCCGCCATGGCCAGTCCCCATTCACTCAGTCACTTTCTTAGCAAATCAAGTGTTATGAAAATAAATAAGCCTATTTTAATTCAACAATACCCACAACTAATGAGCATCGCTCTCAACTTGATATTTTGGTCTGTTTGGTTGGTGTGTTTGAGTCACTTTCCATAAAAGCATGGTGGGATCCAATAGCCAGATAAGAATTTTTAACTAAAGGGTTATGGTTTGCCACAGTAGACCCCAATCTGGAGAAAAGGGCAGAGTCAGCTGGAAGCATGACCTCCCCAAGGGCTGCTGAGACCCTCAGATTCTCACTTCCACCCACCCCAAGATGCTTTCCAACTGGAAAACCAATTTGTTGATAAGTCAGTTTTATGTAACTAATAAAATCGTTTCTTTTTTGGCTGTCCCCTGGACGAATGATACTCTTTTGAATTAACATATTTGTAATCACTGTAATGTCAGGTCATTGTTTATCCATTCCTTCATAACATGGCATTGCAACCTGGTGAACCAACATACAGCCACTCCATGTCTGTAGGAAGGAACTCCCTCCTTCCTCCACTCTTTTGCTCCACGTGTCTCTCTCTTTTGTGCTTTCCCTAACTCTCCAGTGCCAGGTCCATTGATTGAGTTCGGTATCTTATGTTCCCTAACAGAAATCCAGCTACTGTCTTTAAAAATGTCAACTTATTTCTTAAGCACAATTTTTCTCTTGGTTTAACCAAACTAGGGCTCTGAAGTGTCTATTTCTCACTGTACTCTAGTTAAAAAAATTATTTACGACTTCATTCAAAAGCCTAAATTTTGAAATCTCCAGAGCAACATCCTTATGCTTTCCTTTCCTACATTTTCTTACATTTCAGGTTTCTTAATTTTTCCCCTTTGCTTTTTAATTTGATTTAAGCCAATATCTTTGGGATGCACAGAAACTGTTTATTAAAGGCGGGAGCTGGTGGACATGGGGGTTATAAAAATGCCAGTAGAAAACGACTGGGACTCATTCAAAGAATGTGAAATCATTTGATTAGCTGAGTAATTCAAGATAAAAAAGAAGGAAAATATGCGTAGTCATTTCCAAGACAGCTTGCCAATAGTCTGACTTTCTTTCCTTGACTTGGATGGTACTCTATGTGACTCAGAAAAGTCAAAAGGGGAGTTGTAATTAAATGCCCTACATACATGGGAAATAGTAACTTCTATGATTTCCTTTCAACGGATGGCTATAAAGTTGAAAAACATAGTTATACATAATAGATGATTCATTGATACCTCATTCCAATATAGTAAAGTCATATTATCTTGTTTCTAGACTTCACGACCAACCTGTGTTTAAGAAAATGTAATCCTTTCATTTAAAATGGAGTTAAACACACCTCTTCCTAATATTTCTGCCCTTAATGTCTTAGAGAACTTCCACTGTAGTGTCATCTAGAAGTCAAAAACTCTGCAAGGCTACAAAGAGATTTTGACAAAGCACAATATCAACACAAAATACAATGACAAATTATGTCATTACACAAATTATGTCATTTAATTCTACTCTACCATGAGAGCTTGAGTGTTACAATTTACGTTTTATGATAGGAATACTAGGGCTTAGGCAAACTGAATAACTTCCCCAAGGTTATGGGCCCAGTAGTAATAGCTCCTGGTCTCAAATCCAGGGCCAAGGCTTAAGCCACAGGCACTATTTATACAGAGAGGGTCGGCAAACCAAAACTACTCACAGACTCTGGCCCACTCCCTGGTTTTGCACCACTTGTGAGCAAAGAATGACTTTTACATTTTTTAATGGATGCAGAGGGGAGGAATATTTTCGGACATATGAAAATTGTATGCAATTCAAATTCCAGTGTCCATAAATAAAGTTTTCTTGGAACACAGCCCCACTCATCCATTTGCATACTGCCTATGGCTGCTTTCACACTACACTAGCAGAGCTGAGTATTTAACACGGAGACTATGTGGCCAGAAGACTAAAATATTCCTATCTGGCCCTTTACAGAAAAGTTTGCCGACCTCTATACTGTCTATACTATTAAGTACTATTCATGTATGAAGTGGTACTAATTATTAAATATTGTACCGTGCTACCAACAGATTCCTGGACAACTCAGAATGATGACATTATTTCCCGATAAAAATGCATTGCAGTCACTCGCAGATCTGTTCCAAGAAAAGAATAACACAGTCATATAATCAGGTGTCAAAGGAGGACTCCTTCCTTTTCATAACCATTCTCCCAGAGCGCTAAAGAAATAACCGGTCAAGATTCAGTGGCCAACTCACAAAGCGACAACGTAAAACAATTCCTTAACAAACGAAAAAGAAGTGGGAATCCCCGGTCCAGTTGACTGAGACATTGCGTCACTGGTGTATCTATAGGTGTTTAAATATGTAGACAGTGGGGACACGTGTCTCCACCCGGTGGGGAAAACCGGCCGCACAGCTGTTGCAGGGGGAGCTTCCCCTCCCCCACCTGCCTTCTGTCCTAGGCTCCTATGGACAATGGAGCTCTGCCTGTGTCCTCCCACTAGCTCTCTCTACCTGCAATTGATCAACGTAATGATGATGAACGTTGAACTGTTGCTCATGTCTAGCTGTCCTAGTTCTGGCTCTCTCCAGCCACTTGGCCAAAAGTTTAATTTAACATGAGAATTAGGAACTAAATCCTTCTCTTGGAAAACCAAGAGGTTCTTTACAAAGAGCTCAGGAAGAAACAGGAGGGCAGTAAAGGGTTGTTGGAT